AGTAAAACCTCAGGAAGATCAATAGTTTTGTAGTTCGAATTTTGGTGACGTCATGTGAAAACCAGCTATTGCGTCCTTCCGACGGATTTTCGAGCAAAAGATGGACTGCTCGCATTCTACCCTCGAGTCTGAGCATAAGACAAAAGGAGAAAATTGAATTTAACATTTCCCCCGACTCATGTTTTCTACATATCTCTTGTTACCGAGTGTTATTAAAATTTATGCCTAAACGTTTTATGATTCTCTCCTTACACTGCTTTCCGATTAAGTGCGATACAACAAAGCACGGTTTTCCATGGTTTACACTGTGATAAATATAGCTCTCTTAGCCAATCAGAGCGCACGCGGAATCTAATGTACCTGATTATAAATAAATCAAGATAGCGGTTTGCAGCCATAACAATAATAAAAAAAACTTTAAATATTTATGGCGAAATTTGGGGTAGGAAAGATGAAACAGTCAGTTTGAACTGGATGTAACTTTCCTATGTATGGAAAAGAAAGTGTGTTACATTTCCTTAAATTTTTCGTCAAGTTTACTTTCAGTCCATTTCAACGTTATAATCACGGCCGTAGAGATTATGATTTCGCATGGAGATAACTCTCCGGTACTTGATTACAAACAGTGTTAGAACGCACACAACATGTAAATATTAAGACGGCCTGTTTCTTTAATAATATATGAAGGAGCTTTACTTTATTATTTGCGATGTGCAGAGGTTCCTTCAAATCAAAGGCAACATGTGATCATTTTGTCAGACGATAATTCTTGAGGTGATACGAAGATCGACAGTGGCTGGGATAAGAGGAGATATCTTGGGATTTTAGTGTTTATGATGATTATTGGTGAAATTCTCAAGTTATTGTTATCGAAGGAAATCACTTAATTTCTTAAAGCCCACTCAATTTATTAAACTGGTGGGCTTGACCCACTAACGAGTTGTTAAGAACAGTACTCAGTGAAATATAGAGAGATAAAACTATTGAATGAGATCATCAAGGAAATTACGGTACACTGTTTTGTCCTCCAATAGGAAAACTAAACAGTAACGCCAAACAATGCCAGTGAAATATAAAAAGTATAAATAACAAAATAAATCATGTATTTTACCGACAAATGACAAAATCACTGTTGAAATATTAAGATATCATAGCAAATACATAGAGCGCCTTTATAGTGCGAGTAAATATGGCAGGGCTGTGTGGGCCTCAAGTATAAATTCCTGGAAGGGCTTGCTGAGAGCTCTCTGCCATTCGTACATAATCTATTATATTTCTTGGAGTTAGGTTTGAACAGGGCCAATAATTGATTAAAAA